AATGTGTTCTGGTTTATGATCAGTTGCTGAGAGAATAAGAGGGGAGTCAGCAAGCTCACTATGTCTGCCCTGTAATTCCTGCTTGGAGATCAAGAAAAGAACATCATGAGAAATCATGTATAAATCTCATACAGACACAGCCCCTCTCTGGAAAGAACTCCAGGCTGATGATTAGTGAAACCATGTCTTTGTAACTGTCTATTGCTGGATTTGAATGCGGATTGGCAGGTTAACTAAAATCACATTAGTTTTCCAAAATGCCCCTCTCAACTTCCACTCTTCTCAATTTTCTAGCTTGTTTTCCCCAATCTGTTTTTTTATGTTTTCTTTTACCTCCATGCAAACAGATATGGAAATAGAGCTGCTGTTTATTTATTTGGTAGAGTTACAAAACATGCCAATGTGCCTCTGGGTACAAGTACAATATAAATCACAAGCCATAAATAAATGACAAGACAACAAAAACAATAAGTAAAGCTGAAACTCACATGACACGATGACTAATCTTTTTTTCTCTTATCAATGGAAAACTGAGTCAGGTCCTATATACACCTCTTTTATGTGGGGTATTCAAGTTATTTTTTCCACTTTCAATCAGAAAAGCCAACTTATTGCCAAGATTAGCTGGCTAACAGAAAAAAATTAGAAATAACTATTGTAAAATCATGCCAATAATTACTTTCAGGTTAGGGAATATGGTTTATTTAAGCTTCTCTTTTCCCTATTTCCTTCAGTGAGGAATAATACTAATGCTAGCCACTATACATTGAGTGCTTGCTATACAGTGCTATTTAATTTTCACAGGCTTATAGGGTTGTTGTGGGTTTACTGTAAAAGCTTCCACAAATCCAAAGCATCTAAGTAATTGCCTGAGTTAGCCAGGCAATAAGGAGTGGGGCTGGGGCTGGACCCCAAATCTGCCTCCCCCAGAACCCCTCAGCATACTCTTCAGTGTGGCTTGCTCCCTCCTCGTACTCCCAACCCTGTGGGGCTCCCAGTAATGACCAGTAATCCTAGACATAGTCTTCTAGATAAAACGTCCCCTCCCAGTGAGGCTAGAAGGGGCACAGCTGTGAGGCAGGCCACATTTCTCTCTCTGTCCCTGTCTCACCACCACACCACGCTGACTGACCGAACCACTTCAATGGGGCAATGTGGGGAAATTCTAACCTGAGACGGGAGAAACTGTACACCAATGAGACTTCCCTTGTGCGCTAGGGGCAGCCCCTCTCGGCGTGTTCCCAGGTCCCATCTTTGCCTTCCTCATAGCAGGTGCACCCTCTCTCTGCAAGACCAGACTGCCTTCGTGACTTCTAACTTTGGCCATCCCCTGGACCTTTTTCAGAAAACCTGACCTCACCTTTGAGAGTTGGTTTTACTGTAGGATTCATTCCCTTCCTTCCAGAAGTAGCTTTTCCCAAGTCTGAGTCATTCAGGCTAGAATCTTGTGCTGGTGACTTCAGTAGAACTTTCTAGTTTCTGGCACTCCAGGTTCCATTGGGAAGAGCCAGGCAGAAAAAAGAGCTTTGGTTCAAGTTCCCACCAACACTAAAGAGGCGTTGGCATGCCTCTTTATTCTGCTTTTTTACTGCAATATTATTAAGTTCTTGTTTTTTTTCTCTGTGTGTCCCTGAGAGAATTTTATAAATTCAGAGATTACCTGCACACATTTTAAAGCTGACATCTAAAATGTTTCAAGTTTAAATATTCACAAGAACGTTATTTCCAGTGCATTGTTAATATTGACATTTAAAAATAAAAGTTATATTCACATTTAAATGAAGCCAATGATTCTAAATAATGTGGTGATTTGATACTCATTATCATCCATTAAAATACATGATGAGCTCTCATAGTCAAAAATTATATATATATTCTTGTTCAAATTTTCTTTCCATTGTACTTTCCCCATAGAATTTTGTCCTACTTGTAATATAGTTTATGCTTAACACTCTTTTCTCGTCACCTTATAACTGCTGCAACTAAAGTGTATATAAATTTAAATGCAACTTTAAAAACTTCCATGACCACATGTCTCTGTTAAAATTACTCTTGATTTAATTATTATACTTTTCATGAATAATCACAAAGGAGAATTATCCATGAAGGTGAGGAAGCATAAGTGTCAGGGCCCCTACTTCCATGGCTGCAAAGATTGCTGGGAGTTGGCAAAAGTCACATAGTAATCTGTCATCAAAAGATTATTTTTAATGATCCCTCAGGTGACAACTCAATTAGGTCTCCCTCAATTTTATTATAAACAACGAATTGGCTACACCTGACTTTTGAAATAATTATAGTCACTTACCTTCTGTATAGCTGCAACAATATTTTGAGTTATGTCTTTGTTTGGTGGTCTGTATATTTTTATACCCCATGGCAAGGAGACATAGTAAAACTTTGGGTGAGCGAGAGGTATGCCTCTCCTTTACAAAATGAGCAAGGAGAAAGGGGAATCGGCATCTCTGTTACAGGAGTTTCTCAGGAAGATCACTTTTTAAAAAAGGTACTTGTGAAAGTAGAGGGTCTAGAAATTTATTCCCTTAAAATGCTTCATACTGGTCCTACCTCAGCTGGAAGACCATTGGTGTAGAAAATGATTGTTGGATCATTCTCTGTCTTTCTCGCTCTCTCTTTCACCCCAGCTCTCCTGAGGAAACATTAATTTGCAGAAAAAATTTAGTTTCTTTTCTAAGAAAGAAGATAAACATTTTCCCTAATGTTTTTCATAAGGTTCCTCATCTTTCACAACAAAGCCTATCTTCTCCTGTAATATGCAGGGCACTTTAGTTCCTCTAGAAATTAGCTCCTCTTGTAACTCAAGTCCAGTTACTTTGCCCTCCCCAACCCTTCCCCCGAGTCCCCTCTCTCAAACTGTCTTCTCTTGTGCCTGCCAGGAATAGGAAGTGTGCCCATCACCAAGTTGTATACACAAAGGCTGGGCCGAAGCTTTGAAATGGTATCTTGAAAGCACATCCTCCTCCCCAGGGTTGAATACCAGGGAAGGTTTGGGTTCCTTCAATGACCCATTGCAACGGGTTCAGTGGTGGCCCCCCAAAAGATACATTCATAACCTAACTTCCCAAACCTGTGAATGTGACCTTATGTGGAACAAGGGTCTTTGCAGATGTAATTAAGGATCTTGAGATGAGATCATCCTGGATTATCTGGGTGGGCCCTAAATCCAAGACAAGTGTCCTCATGAGAGACAGAATAGGAGAAGACACAGACACATGAAGAGGAGGTAATGTGACCATGAAGGCAGAGATTAGAGTGGTTCAGACAAGCAAGCCAAGAAACACGGAAAGCCACCAGGAGCTGGAAGAAACAAGGAAGGATTCTCCCCGGAGGCTCTAGAGGGAGCGCGACCGCACTGACATTGAGATTTCAGGTTGCTGCGCTAGAACTTTAAGAGACAAATTTCTGTTGTTTTAAGCCACCAAGTTTGCGGTATTTTGTTATAGTAGCCCTTGGAAACCAATACCAGTGAAATACAATAAGCCAATTTTATCATTAATGAATAATGTTGACATTAGCATAAAGATTTTGTATAGCATTTGCCTTGAGGAATCTCAGAGAACAATGAGGTCCTTTCAGGATGAGCCAGTTTTGTCCTTCGCTGTAAATTACTCACTGACAGGATTTGAGAGGCGCTTAGGGAAGCACTTTACATTCTTAGTCATTTGCACTTTTGAGAGGGCCCAGCTCTGAGTCCTGGGAGGTGAGTCAGTCATGCACTGGAGTCTCCAGTGGGTGCCTGGGACCACATTATCGAGGCAGCCTCTAATTTTTATGACCAGATCCCAAGTTATGTCCAGGTAGAATAAGGGAAACACTGCATAAGATTTGAACTGAGAGGTTGGGAAGCCCATCAGTCAAAATGCCTCGTCTGCCAAGGCCAAAAATTAACCATGAAGGATTCGTTTTTTGGGGTTAAGGCAGGAGCTCTGAACTTAATTTGTGAGATTATCAGGTAGTTTATCAGGTAGTTTACAGAGCTCTCTTCGCTAAGCACCATCAAAAATGCATTGTTATTGTTAAATATAGTCGATTCTGGTTATTCACGGTTGTTATGTTCTATAAAGGTGCCACTAACAGTCCTCCTAGGGGAAATACAGGGTTAGGTTCCTGCAAGCCTCTGGTCACAGCATTTTCATCAACCAGGCCATGGGTAGAACGGGTGGGGTGGGGTGGGCGTAGAATGGGGTGTTCTGTGGCCTTCATATCAGAAGCCCTCTCTGCAGCTCTGACTCTTCAAAGAATATCTGACCCCACGGGATTCCAGGGCACAAACCAAAGCCATGTGGCAATGGAGAGTGAGAATGGGATAAAAGGAAGAACAGGGTACTTAGATGATCGAGAAAGAACAAGAGACTCAGAGGAGGAGGGTGAGGGAGGGGCCAGAGAGGCCAGCTCAGGAACTGGGACAACAAGCGAGGTGGGTGGGAGAGGCAGATAAATGAGACCCAGGATTTCAGCAAGCTTAGCTGGGTTTAACAGTTCCATTTGGGGCCTCTGAAGTCAGGACTTCTAGGGAAGCTTGTTCTCCTAAAGCCAACCTGCTTAGTTAAGAAGAACATTGTCTTCACAGAATCAGAATGGATTTACAAACCTTGCATTCCCCCTGCAATTCACTCTATTAGGAGGTCACAGACTGGGGGCACACAGAAATTGGTTCAGAATTTGAAGAAAAGGTCCCTGTAAGGTACATGACTCTATGAGTGTGGAGAACTCTTGTCAAAAGAACTGTTTCCTTAACTCTCTGCAGCAGAAGACCAATTTCTCTGCACAGAAGAAAATGACATGTAAATTGGTTGCCCATGGTTTGGAGACTCCGTCCTTTGAAGCCGGAGCCAAGTGACTAGGCTGGGTACCTGCTGGAGAGAGGCGTCAACTTTGGGACAAGAGTCCCTGGCTCTCCCCGTCCACTTCTAGGAAAATGGTTCACAATCCAGCGGCAAGTAAGCTTTCAATTACGAGTTAAGTAGTGGAAGACGAATATGGGTATTTGGGCCGAGGCAGTTGCACCAGCTAGCGTCTCCGGGCTTCCCCAACGCGTCCCTGCTTCTCTTGGGACCGTGTCAGTGAGGAAAGCCCTCAGGACTTGGGGCCGTTGCTCACACGTGGGTGCCAAAAGCGTCAGAACCACACCAAGAACAAGTGCCCACCAGAGAGCCCAGGCCAAGGCCATTTTCAAACCGACGCCCACGCCCGCAGAGCGGTCCCAGCGAACAGCAGGTGTCACCCTTCTGCTTCCAAACTCCAACTGTTTTCAGGTGCGCGCCTCTCCAAACTTGTGTTCAGAGCTGCCGGCCCGCGGGGTGGCTGGGCCCTTCTGCCGCTGCACGGCGCGCTCCTGTGTGGTGCGGGGTTGCGGCTTCCCAGCGCGCTCCCCCGGGGGATGTGGGGTATGCGGAGGGCAGCAGGTGCCAGCAGAAGCCAGAGGGCGTCTCAAAGGTCGAAGATCGAACTTGCCACGGGACTGGGGGAAGGTGGCACAAGCTTCCAAGCCCCTCCCCTTCCCCCTAGCCGTTTTTCAGGGCGCGGGGGAGGCGCCGCTGGGGCAGAGGCGCTCGGACCATGGCTGCGGCCCCCGCTCCGGCCCGGGTCCCCGCGCGCCGGCAGTACAGCGTGCAACTGCGCTTCGTGACCGAGGAGCAGCTCTTCCGGCCCGGGCAGTTATGGTCTCCCAGCCCGAAATCTCTGCGGCTGGAGGTGCACCCAGCAGGGGAGGAGGCGGACGCGACGGTGACTGACGGTGAAGTACTGCGCGCGCCCCGCGCACGCAGAGTCCCGCGCGGAAGTCGCCCGCCGTGGTGCGCGCGCGCGGCGATGGGAGCGGGGCTGTGTGGGTGCGCGGGCGCGCCCGGTGCGCGTGTGCGGCAGCGCGTGGGTCCACTCGGCGTGCGTCTGCCGCGGTGCGGGGTGCGGGGGGTGCGTGCCCGGCGCGTGCGTGAAGTGCGGGTGTCGCACTCTGGTTGTCTCTGAGCAGGTGCGCACCCTAACTACTCGCAGATGGGACTGGGGGACCGTCTCTCCTGTCGGGAAAAGCCTAGATCAAGCCAGTCGTGCCTTTATTATTATTCAAGAGAACTTCGGAGCTGCAGGCAGACAGCTCCGAGAACTAGTTTTGGTCTTACCTTAGAAATGGCAAAAGCGAGGTCTGGAGAAGAGAGGCTTGTTGTGATATCCCCGCCAGGAATCGATGTCTTTTTACTTCCAGGCCCGTGTGTTTCTCCTTCCCTTTCCAAGCCAACGGACCACCTTACAGTCGCACGTGAGGCTTTCTGGCGGGCGAAGTGGAGAAGTTTAGGAAGGACTGGGCGGGGTGGACACCAGTCCGAGTGGCTGTCACGCCAGTGCAGTGTCCATTTGGCATTACTTTTTGGTTCGAAAAATGGCCTTCACCAAGGAAGTGCTTGGCCTTCACCAGTGCGGTTCCCTGGGCCCCACGGGCTGTGGGTGCGTTAGGGGAGTGCTTCTCACTTCTGTGGAATCCCAGACCTTTTTGAGAATTTGAGGAAACCTATAGATCCTGGCTCTAGAAAATGTGTATACTTGTGCACAAAACTTTTCCTGTAAGTATGAGGGGTTCATGCCCTCTGCCCCCAACTCATGTTAAATACCTTGTTCCAGTAAGTGTGGAGAGCAGAGCCCCAAAGGGAGCTACAAGGCTCCAAAGACTTTTGGGTTTTTTTTCCAACCCTAATTTCTCAGAGTCTGAGTAGAGTTTGAAGTGTTCTGCCCTGTAGATTGGTTCTAGTGGGAATTTGCAGGTACTGTCTTCCTGTTCCTCAGTGATGAGAGGGACACAAATTCACTGCTTCACCTCCAAGGCCTTAGAACAGTTTCAGGCACATAGTAGACAATAAATACTTGTTTTGGAATGAAAGAAAGCCCTGGGATGTGTCTTCTCCCTTTACTGGGAGAAGTTTGGGCCTTAAAGTATTAAATACCATTTGACTAGTGTCTCAGGAAGCTTGAGGCTTGGCAATGGGTCAAAAGCCTTACTCAGTAACTCGTTCATTTCTCTTTTGGATGTAAGAGGGGAAAAGAAGTAGCTTTTAGTGTTTTTCCTGGGAATTCCGAAACTCAAATGCCAGAAAAGAGGTCTATTTGAATACTATAGTAAATTTGTTTAATCTGTAGCCATATACATAGAGAAACAAAAGAGCAGATTTGAGATTTACACATTACGTGATGTCCTATGATTTTCTTTCCCACGAATGTGTGTTAAGAAATAGCCAAGGTTCCAGGTGGTTGGTGTTGTAGGCTCCCCAAGGTGTTATCCAATGCCTGGTCTATTATTTATCCTAGAGGGGAAAAAACTCACCTTCAATGAGTAAATCAAGTCCAGAGATGACCTCTGTGGTATGTACTGACCCAAACTAATGGAAAGAATAATTAAAGCTAAGGCAGGCAGTCATTCTCACAAGATTTTGACTGAATTCCTTGAGAAAGTTTCACTAACAAGGAAGCAGAGATCTCACCCTCCAGTCCTAAGGAGTATTCTATGTATGCATGCAGTTACTAAAGTTCAGTACCCTTATATGGAGAGTTCTGGAGAGAAACTATCCTGGAATTTTTCTTTAAAGTAGCTCGTTTTTACTATATCACCAATTAAACCCCTGTTGATGGTGGCTAGGCAGAGCAAGCTTGAAAAGAAATTCTAATAAATTATTAAAAGAAGAAAGATTCTGGTGAACTCAGATATTGTATGTTTAATAGCAGGATTTCACATGGCTAGGATTTCTCCTGGGATGAACGTTGGTGAAAATTCTTTAATGAACTTTAGGAATGGGTCTAAGCAATGTATCTTGAAAAAATTATACAGTTTCTTAGTTTATATCTAGAATTAGTACTCTGGAATAATTCTGCCTGGATTCAAATCCTGACTCTACTGCTAATTAGCTATGCTACCTATAGTGAATGATTCACCCTATTTAAGCTTCAGTTTCCTCATCTGTAAAATAAGGACAATAATACGAGTTATAAGGATTAAATTAAATAATATGTACACCATGTTTGAGACAATGCCTGGCATATATTAAGAGCTCAGAAAGTGTTAGCTATTATTATTAATGTTATATTTACTTTCTGCCTCCAAAGCAACAGTTTCCTCAGGCTGTTCTTAGGGTGAGTTAGGCTATATTTGGTGAAGATGTTCCAAAGGAGACAATTAAATCTGGTAAAAAATCACTTGGAAGATTTGAACAATCTTTCAGCTTCCCAATTTCAGTAGCTTGATATGTAAAGAATGGAAAAGAACAGGACAAAACCAGTTTATTCTAATTTCAAGCTTTCTAAAATTGACAACAATTTCATAAAGGTAACACACCAGGGGATCCAGCAGGTGTGGATTCTAGCTTGTGAACTCTGGAAAGACATTTATTCATTCCTTCTTTTCTTAAATATTTTTTGAGTCCCTATCCTGCCAGGAGGCTGCCTGAGAGTGTGTTTAATTCATCTTTCTATCCCCAGAGCCTTCCACCGTACCAAGTACACACAAGGCATCAATAAATATTCATTGAATGAATTAGTGCTTTAAATCAAGAATTTAAAAATCTTGCTTAAAAGAAGACTTAAAATACTGAGCACTGAGTGTACAGAATCAGAGTTGCCCAAAATGATTAGGATACTGTCTTTACTTATAGTCTAAAGGTGTGTTTTAAAATATACTGTATTAACAGAAATTTGAGTTATAGTAACGTCAACAGATCAGGAGATGATTGCCATTGAAAAAGTAGTTTATGACTCACAGCTCCCAAGAGGAGCAGGCACACCACACCGCAAGGGGGCCACATAGAGAAGCACCTGGGTGGGTCGGGGGCAGAATGACGGGGCAACTGTGGGCAAGAGCCTTTATTATGGTTTCCATGGGAAGGAATGGTGAGGCAGGGTAAACAGGTGTAGGATGGGCTAGTTTGAATGATTTCAGCAGGCTCTATGGTGTAAGGACTGTCTTTAGTTTTTTGGTACCTCACCCTGGGATAATTAGGACAGATGGATAGTGGCCCAGAGTATGGGAGCCCAACAAAGGAGGTGATTGGGATGTGGATTCTAGACTGGTTGGTTTATACTTGAAAAGTGTGCTCACAGGTGAGTTGTTTACTCTCTCTAGGAACTGGCGAACCCTGGGAGGGGCAGTCTCTCCAGGGTCAGGAAGGCCCCAAATGTCAAAGCATAAGAATACAGAAACTGAAAGACACAGCTAAGACATGGGAAAACCAGAATACAAGGGAATTAGTAAGTTTATAGGGTGGGGATGGGTGTCCACTGGCAGCTAGGAAAGGGCTGTGGATAAGAACTTCAATTCAGATTATGGGAAAAAAATACATTGTTTTCATACTTTCAGTGTGTTCAAACCAAGAACTGGAAAAGGAGGAGAAACAAAAAAAAGTAGGAGATGAACCTGCTTCTCTCCCACCCCTTTGCCCAAGCTCTGTGTAAGCCCTGTGCTGGGGAACTGGAGGAGAAAGAAAGAGCTGGGACTATATTACACAAAGGATAAGGGTAGACTGGATGTCCAGAAGAGAAGAGAGAATATTCTTTCCCTTTCTGCATCTAGAGAGGTCTTATAATTAATCTGGAAGTGTTAGGAAAATATATAAATAAGCCCCATGGATAATCAAGTAGAAAAATGTGAAGGTTTTTGTTTCTGAGATATTATAAAAGAATGCTAGGCTTTTTGTTCCCTGGGGAATGCTCATCTCATTAGAGAGGGGGAAAAAAAGAGCAGAAGGGAAGTCAGAGAAAAACATCCTTTGTATCGCATGGGAGCTCCAATCTTCCTTCTTTGCATTCTGTGATAATGGTAGTAGAGTAAAGTAAGGTGAGGCCTGTGTACAGGATCCTGAAGTCAGTTACCTCCATATGAGATAAACATTCATTACTTTTCATTCAACAAATATCTATTGAACACATATTCTGTGCTAATCACTGCGTGAGCGATAACTGAGCTAGGTAAGGACCCCACCCTATGGAGCTAATGTTTTCATGGGGGAAGACAATAGCCAAAGAAGCAAAGCGAGATAATTTCAGATTGACATAAATGTCTTGAAAAAAATGAACAGAATAAAAAAAATATATATAGCTCCATAGAGAGGGAGGGAGACCAATTTAGAGAGTATGGTCAGGGGAGGCTTCTCTGAAGAAGTAATATTTGATCTGAGCCAGGAAGGAAAGATGAAAGGAGCCCGCTAAGCAAAGAGCTGGCGGAAAAATATTGCACACAGAAAGAATGGCAGGTAGAAAGGCCCTGAGGCTGGGAGGAATTGGTGTGTTTGAGATGGCCAGTGTAGCTGAAGCTTCATAAGAGAGAGGGAGTGTAATATGAGTTAAAGTTAGTGTTCCTGTTATTATTGCAGCCTAACAAGCTACCTCAAAACTTGGTAACTTAAAACAGCCGTTTCATAATGTTCCCAGATTCTGCGAGTTAGGAACCAGGCATGGCTTGCCTGGGTGATTCTTGAGCATTGACTAAGGTCGCTCATTGCCACTCATCTGGCAGCTGGCCTGGAGATCCAAGAGTGTGTCATTCACCTGGGCCGGTGTGACGGTTCCTTTTATGTGTCACCTGGGCTGGGCCACAGTGCCCAGACATTTGGTCAGACATTATTCTAGATGTTTCTGTGAGGGTTTTTGGATGAGATTAACATTTAAATTGGTGAACTCTGAATAAAGCAAATTGCCCTTCATAATGCGGGTGGCCACATCCAATCAGTTGAAAACCTTAACAGAACAAAGACTGACCCTCAA